TCACCTTTTTCTCTAACCAACTTATCAACTCTCAGAATTGTTATTATTTTTTTGTGTATAGTACTCTGTTATTTATAATTTGTGTATGCCTTTAAACTAGGATGAAACTGTGTTTCTTGCTACAATAAAGCAAAGACAAAACCAGAATTTATTTCTACTGTAGGTTAATATGCAAATACCTTTTTGGAGTGAATGGCCAACGGCATAATCAAGCAGCATAGTTTCAAACTAGGATCTTATTAGGCAACTCATGATATGTCTGTCCCTTTGTCTACAGTTACGTGCGAGTCAGCTAAGAAATGCTCAGTCCCTCAATTCCAGTGTTTATGCCAGGTCAGTCTCAAGTTTAATCATTATTTATTGTTACTTATTTGGTATTTTTAAATTTAAGTTTTTATATTTCAATTGTTTAGTACGATCTCAAATCAAGAATGTTTCTAAATTCTGATGTATCTCTGTTTCCTCCTACGAAGAAGCTGACCCGTTAACAACAAGGCAAATGTTGTTTTTTCTTTTGCGTTTAAGAGAGTTATTTAGCCACACATGTTATTTGGATTTGTGTTGGATACTTAGCAACGACGGAAAACATGTTTAGAAGCAAACACGCGACTACTTTATCTGTGAATGATGTTAACTTCTGAATTAGTTTATCAGCGAGAGTGGTCCTGCTTAGGAAGAACTTCAGATCAAACATTTGCTTGCTCTACATGACTGAAGGTTAGATTATCCGACTCTAATTTCTTTTTTCTATGTATTAGAAGTTAATGCCCTTCCACTATTCAGTTTATAGGTGTTTCATATTTGTTTCACTTTTCAGTTGATCTCTTCTTCTATGTTCTTGACGGTGAAGAGCAGCCCTGATGCTCCAAAGTTGGCTCATGAGAAGCTTGATAAGATGGGACCTATGTCTAAGAACGAGTTGATTATGGCTGCTACTTTCTCTCTCACTGTAATTGTTATCTTCTGCTTCATGAGCCCTCTTTAGATGCAAGTCTACTTGGTATCAGTTTTAGGGAGTGTTTCAAAATTAAAAAAAGTTGAAATTTTTAGCTATTTGTGTAACTGTGTTTCATTAGATTGTAGCTTCTGTTTAAAGTTGGTTTGGGTGAAAATTTTCTGTTGTTGGTGTTTTAATTGACGCAAGATCTTCCTTTTTTTGTCTCCTTGCTGCAGGTTGGTCTCTGGATTTTTGGAGCTAAGCTGAGTGTAGATGTTGTGACGCATATTCAACACTTTGTGTTTTAATTGTTAGGCTTTTCTTGGTCAGAGCGCTTAGTTTCTACTTTCAAGTGGCTGACCAATGCGATGTGTAGGTATAATTGAGCGTGAAGGAGTGATTAGATTGTATCATCGGTTCGTCCCCAATGCCCTGAAAAGCATGCCAAACAGCAGGTCGAGTTTCTTATATATATATAGATTGTGATAAAAGCCAGCTTTCTTATCTTCCTTTTTTTTTGTTTCACTTTGGCCAGTCCTAGAGTAATAGAATAAACCAACAGTGATGCCCGAGTTCAAACTGATATGTGATTAGCTGTAACGAACAACTCTCACTTAATAGAACATTTATACTCTAGCAAATCCTAGCTTAATAGAATTCGGGTGAGACCACAACATTGTTAGATTGCATTTGTAGTGCTGCTGTTGAAAGTTGGCAATCTATTTATTTTCCTCCTTAATTCACAATGATAAAACTTTGTTGTCTTACTTGCTTTAGTCAATGTAATCTGATCATCATGTACAATATGATTATAAAGCTCTTTCTACTTTTGCTTCTGGGTATCTTTTGAACCACAAATAGAGCTCTGTTCACTCTCCACCCTAAGTGTATAACTGAACCAGACTTCAAATATAGGACATACATTTCACAGCCTCAAGTCTGTTTCTTTGTCTGTTACTATTAGATTCATCATTCAATAACCTATGATCACTGTGGGTTGTTACATGCTATGTATAAGAGCATGGTATTTTAGATGATCGGAACATCATGCTCTGGTTTCAAATATTTTACAGCATCATGCTCTGTTAGCAACTCCTCATTTTCCATGTCCGTGGATAGATATTTGGTGACTTTCGCACATGATAACTTAAGATCACGAAAGGATAATTTGATGGGGCATGGAACTTCTGGACCAGATTATTAGCTTAAAATTGTACTGGTAATTATGGTCTCAGCTGTATCCAATATCACAGTTGTTCACCTTGGACTAAGCTTGAAGATAACTTGAGATGCAAGTTTTTCAATCTAACCGAGTTATGGTTATTCAAAAAGATTACAAAATATCTATTTATGTTATATCTAATGAGTTTAGAAGTTTTATGTTGCTATATAAAGATATGGTAAGTTGTAGCATAACTTATGAATTTGTGTGCTTGAAAACTTAATATTTTTGAGCGAATTTTTTTTTGAGAAATTAATAAGAAGAATTGTTCTTATTGGTATGATCTTATAACTAAATTCGTAAGACCTGATTTGATAAATGTTAGGTTTTAGACTTAAGAATGCCTCATTATATGTATGGAACGAGCCAAGTGAATAAAACAATCCACTCTGTAAAGAAATTATTGCTTGTGCTTCCTCCTCCACCCTCCACCTATCTAAACCATTTAATCTATAGGTAGAAGTTTCAAATGTACCAAACTACTATAATACATAAAACCAACACTTTCTCTAAAAATACATAAAACCACAGCAAATGATTTATCTCCTATAAAAAAACCAGGTGTAGACAAGTAAAAGTGATTTCACTCAAACGCAAAAACCCGGGCGTAGCCCGGGAAAAGGATCTAGTACTATACTAATCGAACAAAAAAGAGTTTGAATATGGGTTTAAAAAAACCAAACATTAAATTTTATTTTTTATTAGCAGGGGTTATGGCCGAAGTCCATAAGTAAGATCTGAAATCACAAAATATACCCGAAAATCGTAGTGGCAAAGCTAGCATATGGTCATGTGAATTTTGAACAAAGAAAATTTGCATGTATTTTCATAGAAACATATGATGAATTTTGCTTACTGACCCGTATAAAACACTTGTATTATCAAATTGACCCCTGTACGAAACATTTTTCCCTGTAAAAACACTTGCATGTTATCCTATGACTTTTAGGTTGTCTTGTGTATTTTTCAAGTTGAGGTAACAACAATTGATAATCTAAACATTTCTTATATGCATATATTCTAACTCCATCAAATTTTCCAAGCACTCAAAATCATATAAGTCACTTAAGTTTGCACCGAATTCAACCGTCTAGCCTGTGAACAATCACCCTTAAGTCCTTAGGATGATTTTTAACAAGTTAGGAGGCTTAAATTCGGTGACCTACTAAAGATAAGGAATGCAACTCATGTAATACTCAATTCAAACAATAAATTATAATATTAATTTCTTTGTCAAACAAATTATAATATGAATTAATCTATAATATTAGTTAATTATATTAAATTATTAAACCTTTATAAAATAAATTTTAATATTAAATTTTGTCAAAGTCTAAAAAATTAAAATATTAATTAATTAATTATCTAAATTTATTAAACCTTTATAAATTAAATTTTGTCAAAGTCAAACAAATTAAAATATAAATTAATTAATTAATTATCTAACTTTATTAAACCTTTATAAATTAAATTTTGTCAAAGTCAAACAAATTAAAATATTAATTAATTAATTATCTAAATTTATTAAACCTTTATAAATTTTTAAAAAATTTAACTAAAGATTAAAGAACAAGCAGTGACTCTCATCGTCGGTAACATGCATGGACACCTCACCGGCGAAAAAGATAAACGAAGCAGAAGAACTCCTCTCCGATGTAACTTAAATGGAAGCTCCGATTGAAGTACACGCAACATGTTCTACACTAAATTAATTTTAACATGTGAGGACTCCTCACCGGTGGTAATGCAGGGACTCCTCACCGGCGAAGAAGATGACCTCCACCATACGGAAGCTCTGATTGAAGAATATGCAGGGACAAAATAATTTAGACACCAAACTAATATAAAGAACATGTTACATGCAGGAACATGCAAAGAAAAAAATACCTTCAGATGATGACCCATGTCGCCGGCGAGCCGAGTAGTCACCGGAGCTCAGCTGTCTCCTAAAGTCAACACCCGTCGTAAAGAACTCAGCTGGTGGTGGTGGATCGGCTTTAGCTTTAGATCTACGAAGATCTCAGAAGCCGAACTACCACCACCGGCTGGGATCTTCACCGAGCCACCGTTGCCGTTGCATGCACGAAGAGAAAATCAGATCTGTCAAGATCCGTCGCTCAAGATCCCACCGGATGACGGAGGATCAGCGTCTATGGTGGAAAACATTTCAACAATCAAGAAAGAGTCTTTCTTGATTCTTGTCACAGTTTCAGGAGAAGACGATGACCCTCCGCCATCCGGTGGAGTCCTTGCAAAATCCGCTGTCACCGGAACACCTGAAGAATACCGGGAGAAGAAGATGCTCTCTCTGTTCGTTGTTGCTCTCTTTCTCATTCTACTTTGTTTTGTTTCAGGTTGGTGGCGGAGGAAATGGAGAAGGCATGCGGGATTTTAGGTTAACCCGTGGGTTTCGTGGGCCATCACGCAATTGCGCCCAACCCGCAACAGTCCATCCCGCTAGGCCCGCTATTTTCCGGGCTCACAAATCCCTGGCCCAAACCCGCCCCGCAGCAAGCATTAACGGGTCCGGCCCGCGGTCCAAGCCCACACTTGACATCCCTATATAAGTGATACCCATGGTCGATCGAAGCAAACATATTTCTGATAATAGCTAGTGTGACGAGAATAATTAATGCATAACTACATCATGAAAGAAAAAAGAGAGAATGGTGATGGGCATGGGACAACAAGAACTGGCGTGTAGGAGATGTATAGAGAATTTGATGTGACTCTAGTCTCTTTGTCTCCACCATATCTTTCATGCTTTCCACTTTTTCAACCTTATTAAACCAGCTTGTATATGTGCAACACTATAGTACCTCTGAGAAAAATTAAACAAAGATGATACATATGAGAATCTTTGGTGTTTTTGCAATAGCGTTATGGATAACAATGGTTGATGCTAGGTTTATCGGAGGGAGAGGAGTGGAGAAATATGTTACTTTCGGTCAGAACTATGTTGTTAAATGGGGTCAAGGTCATATTTCCACACTTCACTCTGGAAAAGAAGTTGATCTCTACATGGATCAGTCTTCAGGTTAATTAGTATCTCTTTCTTTTGTATCCTCGTATAAAAAATACAAGGACAAGAGATTGTATAATCCAATTTTGATTAGAATCCGTGATCATGGGTGTGTAATTAACTACTAAACTGACACTGGTTTGGCTTCTACGTACGCAAAACAGGTGCCGGGTTCGAGTCCAAGAACATTTACGGATCAGGTCTCTTTCAAATGAGAATCAAAGTGCCCGGAGGAAATTCTGGTGGCGTCGTCACCGCTTTTTATGTTCGTTTTTATGATTGATAATATACATGAGTAGATGACTAACTCAAAATTCATATTTGATATTTTGTCTATATATGTACATAATGACAGTTGACTTCGTTGGGAAGTAATCACGATGAGATTGACTTCGAATTCCTAGGGAACAACGATGGAAAACCGATAACGTTACAGACAAATTTGTTTGCGAATGGAGAAGGAAACAGAGAAGAGAGGTTTTTGCTTTGGTTCAACCCCGTCAAACATTACCACACTTATGGGATTCTTTGGAACCCTTACCAAATTGTGTACGTTGTTACAATCCTTCTTCTCTATTCGTTTCCCGGAAAATGAAGCTTCGATAGGTTTATGGTATGGTAATTGATAGGTTTTACGTGGACAACATCCCAATAAGAGTCTACAAGAACCAAAACGGTGTTAACTATCCATCAAAACCGATGCAAGTAGAGGCCAGTCTCTGGAACGGTGACGCTTGGGCAACTGATGGCGGTCGGACAAAGATTAACTATGCGTACTCTCCTTTCATTGCCCATTTCCAAGACTTTTCCGGCCTCTCAGGTTGCTACGCAGATGGTCGGAGTGATAACGTTGCCACGTGTGGATCCTCCAACTACTGGTGGAATGGAGGTAAATATCAAAGACTAAGCGGATACGAACAGAAAGTCTATGAGCATATGAGGAAGAAGTACATGAACTATGATTACTGCACTGATCGCTCTAAGTACCAAAGTCCTCCTAGAGAATGTTATTGAAATAACAGAGCGTCTATTATTTAAGCAAAAAAAAAAAAAAAAAACAGAGCGTCTATTATTATTATGACTAGGATTCAGACACCCTCGCGCGGGGAAACAATAATAACTCTAAATCTAAACTATTAAAACTAGAGTATAAATAAAAAGTACTCATTTGTTTTCTACAAAAATTACAATCTTATGCCACTATAATTAAAATACATAATTTTGATTAATGGTTATCTTAATTTTCGCAGACCTGCTACGAATTTCTTTCGCCAGCCCATCAACTGCAAATTTCGTGGGCCTCTTCTATCGTTATTTTATTCCAAAATTGAAAGTCATAAAAAAAATTCCCTACTTATTGTTTTTACAAAATATGTTAACTAATTATTCTTTTTTTAATAAGGAAAACAACTTAATTAACATTTCATATTCCTACGCAGACGAATATAACAAAAGGATATCAAAATTCATGTTTAATTAACTTGCACATTACATATTCCTATTTTTTTCAACTGGATATTCTGTTTTTAAAGTGACTTAATTTTTCTTTTTGTAAAAGATTAAACGGCTAGATTTTACAAACATGTAAATATGTTTTAACTTAATTAACATATGTTGTAAAAGATAAAACGGCTAGATTTTACAAACATGTAAATATGTTGTAAAAGATAAAACGGCTAGATTTTCCTATTGACTAGCACATCACGTTTTCCTAATTGTTTCAACCATATATTAATACTTTAAAATATCACATCTTTACTAACTAATTAACGAAATACTATATTAATACATAGTTACAAGTTTTGTGATACATTAACATAAATGAAATATGTTGTTTCATCCAAAATAAATTTTAATATATAACACAATAAAATTAAAAAAAAAAAGATTTTGGATGACCAATAAACTAAAGTACCAAAAATGAAAACCCTGAAAATTTTATTTTTCTTTCGATATTTTAATTATTGGAAATCTAATTACTTTGAACAATACACACCCATACCACAACTGAACAACATATGAAATTCTGACATTATAAGAATAAGAAATTAAATTTGACCCATTTTTAAAAACTAAAAACAAATAATTAAGAAAAATAAATATTTGCGCGGACGCGCGGGTCAAAAGCTAGTGTAATTTTAAAACTACTAATTGTATATATAAATATTTAGAATGAAAATAATGATATTTTAAAGATTAAAATTTTTAATTCCTAATATATCTGACTGAGATTAATATATTTATATATGCATAATCCTGAAATAAAATGAAATAATTTTTTAATGCTATGTTTGAAAATAACCATGTGTTTTACTACATTTTATCACGGAAAATAAAAATAATTGTTTTCTGTAACTTAGTTAAAATATTTTTTTGCTAGAATTTTATGTCTTTTGTGAGATTTTTTTAGTATAAATTCATTATTCCTAATTTTATGAACTAACTAGGGGTTGGCCCGGACTACGCCCGGGGTTTTTAATTTAATTTTTAATTTTGATTATATATTTGGTATGTATATTTTAGCATAGAAATCTTATAAGCTATTAGTATAATATATTTTGTATGTATATTTTACCATAGAAATTTTAAATTATCTTAAATCATTCATTTCTTTTTGTCGTACAAAATTATTTTGTACATTTAATTTTTTCTGCAATTATATTTAAGGTAAGGAGAAACATGAACATAAAATTAATTAAATTTGAGTTAGATTGGTTGGATTGTAGAAATGTTTCAATTCATTTATAATATTTATAATTTTTGTTTTGAATTAGCTTTTAAGTAATTTAATGGACTCCTAAAAAAATTACAAATCGATAAAAGCTACAAACCAAATTCTCACAACAAAATTACCGCACTATAACCCAAATAATCGGATCCCCGATCTAAATATTTTTTTATCGTACTTGTATAAGTTCTTATGTAAAATATTGTTAAATGTGACAAAAATTTTGCTTTTAGTTTTAGAATACTTAAATTCATAACTTTCACAGATGTAAAAAATTAGTCTTTTGAAATTTTTGTTCCACTTCGTCCTACATCCGTTTTGATCGAGTGTTGGCTGGTGGTATCCTGCTTATCTTTTGTAGGAATTGTAAGTTTTTAACTTCTATGAATGCTTCTGAATTGTTGTTAAAATTTAGACAAAGTTTTCATTCTTCTCCTTTTGAGTCTAATTCATCTACTCTAACACAATTATAATCTTGCTATAAGATATAACTATTTTTTTAAAAAGAAACTCAAACTAAAGTGTGAATGATTGAACATTATGAGATTATAAGTTCTGGTTTTTTTTTTTTTTTTTTTTTTTGACATCAAACGGCTGATCTATTACTCAAGCAACATGAGGTGGTCTGGGAATCCAGACCGGAATAGAACAACCAAAGAAAACAAGCTTACGGTAAAAGGCCCTAGCTGTCTTAGCTAAAGAATCAGAAACACTGTTCTGTAATCTAGGAACATAAAAGATCTTGAAATCAGGGAAGCGGATCTTCAGCGTCTCCAATCTCTCCAGCTCAGTTGAGAAGTTAGGCCAGACATGAGGGTTCCTGAGCATCTCGATCATCTCCTTGCAATCAGTTCCAAAGCTTTGACATGGCGAATGTTGAAGCATATTCTCCATTGCCCACCGCAGTGCCTCCAACTCTGAATGCAACGCCGACTCCACTCGATCAAAATTACGCAATCCCAATAATTTACCATTTCCGAACTCGTCATTTAGCACCCATCCACAGCCACTGAAATCATTCGTAGAGGTCCAAGAGCCATCCACCATGCATATATTACCCAGGTTTAAGTCCTGGTCGTCTTCTCCTCTGTTCCCAATGGAGACCGGAATTTCCTTCTCATTGGCTTTGAACCAAGCTTGACATTCACTCTCTGCATAGCGCGCTAACTCCAAGGGATCCCTATCAATGCCTCTGAAAAGTTTATCATTCCTAGCCTTCCAGATGTACCAGATTAGCCAAGGATAAGGATCCCTGTCCAATTCCGGTTCCATTATCGCATTCTTCCTCCAGAAAAGATAATCCATATTTGCGTACGTGCTCAGTCCTGGAAACAGAACAGGATTGGTTGGCGTAGATGATAGTGCCCAAACTTGTACTGCAGGAGGGCATTCAAATATTGCATGATTGATCGTCTCCTCAGGTTCCCCACATCGAGGACAATGATTGTCACATCTCATATGTCTGTAGTTTAGGATGCTCGTGACAGCTACATGTCCCGTAATCAATTTCCACATAAGATGACAAATCTTTTGAGGAGCCCTGACCTTCCAAGCATGTGCTTGGAGCTTTGTGATACTGGGTTCACATACTTCAGGTTCTTCTTCCTTCCACAAAATATTTCGCGCTACCCAATATCCAGATTTGACTGTATACTGTCCAGTCTTCGTATAGCTCCAACAGTACTTGTCCCGACGATGTGTTGAACTAATGGCCATACTTTTAATGAATGCAATATCCTCTCCACATGTGATGTGTGAACAATGATAGTTGTGTAGCATAGTCAGTAGCTAGATACCCACGAAGGCCAATCAGCATCACTAAAACATGCCGCCACATAATCACGAAGTCTCTTATCATCCCAGCACTTCGTTGTTTGATCAATCAAATCACTCACTCGCATATTTGGATGCAGAACCGGTGCCAAAGGAGTAGCAGGTCTTGCGGGTACAGTAGGAATCCAAGGATCTTCCCAGACTTTAACCTCATATCCTGAGTGGACTTTTTGTCGGACTCCTAATAATAACAACTCTCTGCCAGCCGTTATGCTTGTCCACACGTAAGATGGGCTACTAGCATTAATTTGACGCAAGGGCGAAGTCAATCTGTAATATCGGCCTCTCATAACGCAAGCTACCAGAGAATCCGGGTTCTGCACCAGTCTCCATAGTTGCTTTGCAAGTAACGCAAGGTTAAACTCATGAATCAACCTAAAGCCAATTCCGCCTTCTTCTTTTGGTAAGCATAGCTTATCCCATGTCGACCCGTGAATACCCCTCTTTGGCGGATTTGAGCTCCACCAAAACTGTGCAATGGCACTAGCTAGATTCTCACAAATCTCCAATGGGAGAAGAAAGCAGGACATTACATACGTGGGTAGAGCTAGCAGGATTGATTTTATCATAACTTCTTTCCCGCCTTTAGAAAGCCATCTTCCAGTCCATCCATTCACTCGACGTCGCAACTTGTCCTTTAAAAACGCAAAAAGCTTGCATTTGGATCCACTGATATCCTCTGGTATACCTAAATAGGTTCCCATTCCGCCTTCATTTTGGATCCCAAGCGTGTCTTTGATCTCTTGTCTTGTATCTTGACCAATCCTCTTACCAAAGAGTAAAGAAGACTTATCAAAATTAATACATTGTCCTGAAGCTTGACCATATACCTTGACCACTTTCATTACTTCTTCACATTCACGGGGCTCCGCCTTACAGAAAAACAGACTATCATCAGCAAA